CCCCCCCCCCCCAATTCATCCGAAGCAGGCGTTTCTCTCAACGCCTCGTGAAAGAGGCGGGGACCGCCGCCGCAGCGGCGGCGGCAGTAGCGGCAGCAAAAGCCGCGGCCGGTCAGGCGGGCGGGGCGGCGGCGGCGGCGGCGACGCCGGCGGTGCACGCCGTCACCGCCGGGAGCAGCGGCGCCTCCCCGAGCGCGGTTATCATGCACGTGCTCCGCCTGGACTGGGAGCCGTTGCAGCTGAGGTTTTGGCCGGCGGCGGTGGCGGATGCGCTTCTGGGTCTCGTCGACGGGGGGAGGGCCTTCAGCCTCGAGGATGACGAGTGCATGCGACCGTTCGTGGGTGCGGCGACCGGTGGCGTAGTGGGATGTGAGTTTTTTTGAGTGTCCAAACAAGACAACACGCGCTTTGGTAAGGGTGGATGTTGGCACAGCAAACGCAAGGGTGCTGACACTACCAGCTTCTGGTTCATCGTTGTGAAACGTAGCCTGGGCAGGCGGAAACCCGGCATACCGCTCCGTCTCGGCATTGTAGGGATGCGAGGTCTAGTCTAACGACTACGGTATGCGTGTACATGACCCCCTCCCTCTCCCCTCCCCTCCCTTGCGCTCCACAGCGCCCCCCGTCTCCCTCCAGGGGGCGACCTCCGATGAACGAGACTGCCTCGCCGCCTACGCGTCCGCGCTGTCAAAAGCCGTGGGGGGGGCCGGAGAGGTAGTGGACCCTCTGCGGGGCCTCCTGCACGCAGACGTTACCATCGCCGACGATGTGTGGGCGCGGACCCTCAAGCTGGCGTGGGCTACGTTCAGCGACCGGCGGAGGGCAGAGTTCGCCGGGGTGGCGGGGTCGCTGCTGGCCAAGCCGTGGCATACCAAGGCCATGAACCTGCCCCCTCTCATGCAGGGGTCTCACAGCGTGAGTTTTGGTAGATACTCTTGTTTTTTTTTTTGTGTGTTTTGTTTCTTTGTCTCTGATTGAGTTTGATTTCAGCCTATTCACCGAGAAACTAGTGGTCCATGCCTTTTTTTTTTGCAAACACACTGACCAGCTGGGTGCTGCTGCTGTGCTGTTTAGCCTACCCCAATGTACACGGAGAGATCAATGATGCCATGCCTTTCGACACAAACACGCTGATCACTGATCTTGCTAGCTATGTTGTGCGTTGCGTTTTGGTGGCCGTCCGTCCTGTGCCCCTAGGTTAACGTGATCCAGAGCTTGCTGGGGGCGATCCTAGCTCTAAGGCCTCTGCCCCCGCTCCCCGTTGATCTTCTGGGGGCACTCGCCGTCGGCTTTAACGCTTGGCACACCGTCATCCCCGCGATAGAACACCAGGTTTGTTGCGGTACAGTACACCAACAGTCTCGCCCTCGTTGATTGGTCGTTGTCGCTTGCTGAAAAGGGCTGAGACATGGCCATACCTGCCGTGGTCATTGTCGCTTGCTGAGAACGGCTGACACATGGCCGTACCTGGTGTTGTCATTGATGTCATGAGCTGGTCTTGTGGGTGTGTTTTTCTCTAGCTGGTGCAGCTGCTCGTTGGTTGAATGTCTCAACTGTTGCTCTTTCGCCGTGTTTCAAGTCTCGGACGAAGTGATCCCGGTTTTAACACTAGCTTTGTCGCGGATATCGAACAACATTCAGGCGGTTTCAAAACCTGTTATACCGTTGTGAACCTTGAAGCTGGCTTTGGAAGCGGTTTCTCTCGAAGGGACTGGCCCTTTTACAATGGTGGTCGCTGGTTGGTTTCAATAGATAGAGGGCGCTCCGCTCGATCCATCTCCACACGGGTGGCTCGTGCATGGTCGACTTGGCCGAAAGCAGGCAAAGGCGCAGTTCAGTGTGCCCACCACCCTTCAGCTGCATCCCGTTACAAGAATGCGCGATGCGTCAAACACCCGACACTCGGACTAAAGAGAAGCACTCTTACCCCTCCCCCGCTCTCTACTCCGTCGCAGCATTGTAGAGATGCGAGGTCAATGGTCTACCACCACGGCATTCGTGTACATGAACACCCCCTCCCCTTCACTCCCCGCACGACGCACGCAGGTGATGAACGCCTCTGTGGAGGAGAGACCCCAGTGGATACGCATCCTAGCGTTCCTTTACAAGCACCTTGGGGAGGACGACGTCTGCAGCGCGCTCCGGAGACGCTTCGCGGTGTGCCCAGAAACCAAGGTAACCCGACAGACCAACAAACAAGCAAAAATGCTAGTTAATACTTCTGGAAGTTAGCTCTTGTTTCCTTTTTTTTTTTCGGCCGTACCGCTTTTTCAGCAGTACCAAGATTGAACCAGGTGTACCTCTCTGGCCGGTGGGAGTTCATTTCTTCCCCACGTAGCGTGTTTGTAGAGGGGAGCGGAGGGCTCCAGACTACCGGTCGTTGACTAATTTTGGCTTGCGTTCCTTCGGGTCCATTTTATTTGAGTATACCTTTTTTGGGTACGTTGGCCTGTGACCACGGGGATCGCTCGGTGAAGTGTTTGATCGGTATGGACAGATGAGAAAGTGGGTAGAGAGATCGGAGCGGTTTTTCAATATCAAGAAAACAGCAACAGGATCCTCATGAGGGGTGGGTAGGGGGCGCCTCAGGGGGAGGAGCCCTTCTTTGTGACGACGGATTGGGACTCGTACCCAGCAGATAATAATGCTGTGAGCGCTGATTTGAAATCATGAATAATTTCTGTTTTGTCGCTTTCGCTTGAAGTTGTTTGGGTCATCGAGGTGCTCATCAGGGTGGATGTGGGCGGGTATGTGAGCGTACCTCTCCGTAACTGCGAACAGAGAACGGATGCGAGGACGCACCCAGCAGTAAGAGGAGAACAGCGGAATACGTGCGAAGGTTTGCATGCTGCGTTTGTAGAGCTTGTCTCGTCGTCCTCGATGGGGGTTAAGGTACATGCGAAGATTGGATCCGTTCGCTTGTCTCGTCCCCTGGGGTTGCTTATTTCCTCCAGTGGTGAGCCGTTGGCGGTTACGTGAATGTGCAGAACTGGCGGCCGACGGCAGACCTGGGATTCAAGGGCGAGACATTATTATTTGTTGTGATAAATGAATGGTATGGAGATAAAAATATGGCATGGAACCGTTCGATGACAAAGCTGTTTGGCAGTATCCGGGACACAATTTTACTTCGTGTGTTGAAAAATAACACGGAGAAAGCGTTCCGTTTGACGACGAACGTTTTGCGGCATGCTTATTCAGGTGGCGTTGTCGCTGGAAACGTACGGATTAACGGTCGAGGCGCAGCATCTGTACCTAGACCTGATATCGAGGGAGCAGAGCGGCGCAGGCACGGCGCACGTGAGCCAGGATGAGCTAGAGACATGGGAGGTGAGCCAAGTCAAACCGGTGACCCACTTCTCAGGTACTGCAGCATGCACGAATTTGTTAGAGTTGTCTACAGATATATGTTGTTGTTGTTGTTGTTGTTGTTGTTGTTGTTTCTCACATTAGCTCTAAAAAAAAAAAAGATTGGGAGCCCGTGGTCTCAAAACCCGGCATACACGACCCCACGAAGAAACAGAAAAAAATGTATGGTATCTGGCGCCCTGAACCGAGTTTCGAGCTTCGATTACTCCGCGACGAAGAGAATGTATAACTCAAACTATATGTTTCGGAGAGCTCACGACGAAGCTATTCCAACGCCTCCCGACATGTTGGGCGCCACCACCCTTTTTGGAGCTTTGCAAGTCAGTTGAGGGTGCGTGATATCGAACGTCACCTTCAGTGATACCAACGATTGGTGAAGTGTGATCTGACATGGAGGAAAACACGACAGTGGTCATCGGCAAGCGACCGTCTCGAGCGACATATTGATGAAAACAATGATTCCGGCCGCTAATTGTCCCTGCTCGTCACCCCCTCGATGCTGCACCCCTCCCTTGCTTTGAAAATGTGTCGCCCCCCTCCCGTTTTTAGGAGAGATGGATCGATTGCACGAGGCAGCTGTCGCAGTGGAGCGTGTTGGTGGACTTTTCGTCTACGCTGCAGTACCCGGAGTTGATGATGGAGTCAGCGTGGAAGGCACGCGCGTGGGACGTGAGTGTTCCGATCGTTGTACATGTATTACAGTTGTTGGTGTTCGTTGCTTCGATGTTTCCGTTTCGCAGTGGTGGTGATGGTTAGAAACAACAACGCTATGACAGCAACGACAACAACGCAAACGACACCACCAACGATAACAACCACAACGACAACAACAACAATAGCAGCAACAGCAACAAGCTCATTGTTTTGGATGTTTGTAGGTGGTCCGTGCCAACATGGACAGTCCGACGGTGGCGGCGGCGACGGAGGGTGGCTCGCCGTTCTACAAGATCTACGAAATATACTTGGTAAGTCGAGATGAACCGCGCGCGCGTCGCCTAGATAGATTGGAGGTGCGCGTTGGGAGGACGCGCCAGAAGTCTGCTTGCACGAGGTACAGGATGGGAGAGACCTGTCTCTATATGTACATAGTGTGTGAAGAGTGCAAGGGCAAGGTGTATGGACCATTCTTTTTTGTCTCACTCCAAACCTTGTGCGTGTGGTTCTGCGACGGGGGATCCGCCAACGTAAACATCAATCCGGTGTGTGTGTGTGTGCAAAGTTTAAACCCGGTACTTGATGAGAAGACGTATGCAACACGGACGGCGGTGGCACACCGATCGACCACAAAAAACATTGCTGGCCCATCGTTAAATACAGCGTCGCCTCGCAAAAAAAATGATGAAACATGGCGTGTACCCCCCTCTCCCACCCGTTCGGCGTTCTGTCTAGTCAATCGTGGACAACAAGGTGCAGGGGATGGAGCGGCTGTGCATGTCTTGCGTGCAGCTGGCGCTCCACCGGTGGCAGCTCTTGCCGAGGGTGCACACGGGATGCGGCGCGCACAAGCCGCTGCTTCACCTGTTCCACCAGGCAAGTGGATTCCGTGCCTTTTTTTCCCTTGCCAAGTAAACGATAGATCCGCTCGTGGAGCAGTGAAGGCTGAGAGATGAGCAAGGGCGGCGTAAAATGGCATCCGCGCACAGGGATAAACAAAAGGAAACCCGGAGATAAACGGACGGATATGTTGTTGTGTCGTGACGGGTAGTGGCTACGCGGGAGAGCTTTGTATACACACTCCCATGTTTGTTTTTTACCTTGCTGAGAAGATGCGAAGGACGGCGGTGGCACACCGATCGACTGTAAAAAGATTGNGCAGCTGTCATCCGTACGCAAGGAAGTAAGCACAAGATGCCGAACACCCTTACTTAGCAGGATGCAGCGCACCCTTCATGCGACTCGCCGAATACCTCATGGTGCTTCGCGCTTGGTGATGTGAGAGCTTGGTCCGGTGAAAACTCGGCGTGCTCCCGTCCCGGATGCGAGGTCAATGGCCTAATGACTACGGCATGCACGACTACGAGTAGGAGTATGAGTACAACCCCCCCATAAAAATAGTTCTTAAAGCACACCAAATATCGAATAATCAGAAGAACCCATACCCACACTTTTGGGTTGTCTCGGAGCGGAGCGGTTTGTCGGTCGCACTTTTTTTTTTCGTGGCCTTGGATAAATTGATTAAAAAATCTCACACCATGAACCGGATGCAAAAAAAACGCAACCGCAGATGGTTGAGCTGAGAGAAACGGGCAACATCATGGCCGACATGGCAAGGATGATGATGTCGACCGGCGCCAACGGCCAGAAGCTGAATGGGGGCGCCCTGATCAACGCGGGCCAGAAAAAGCCCCCCGAGCTGAAGGCGACGCTGTACACGTGGCGGGAGCGGCTGCCGAACAAGTGGGACGCTCTGAAGGACTGGGACGACATCTTCTGCTGGAGGACCGAGGTACGACGTGCAGGGTGTCTCCCTGTCTAGTTTTTTTTTTATCGTATATATATACCCGTTGCTTAAACCCCCTGTCTAGAGTTAGGGTTATGTCCCTGTTCGGAGACTTTTTGATCCTACATATTGTGGGTATGTCCCTATTTGGCGACTTTCTTTATCCTACGCGTGGCGGAAACCCCAGTCGAGGCTTCGGGTTATGTTCCTATTTGAGTTTTTGATCTTTCCCAATGCCTAAACCCCCATCTAGCTTGTGCGTTACTCCGACTCGTGCTCTGTTTCGTGGGCCACTAGCACGAGAAGTGCTTATTTCGCGGGCGCTGTTGACAACACTCCTTCCTTGATGCTGCTGCTTGTTACTGGCGATACCTTTATGCTTGCCACGGACGGTTCCGATGCTGATGCTATTACTCGCGATGCATTCCACGAATCGGTTCATAACACGCGGTCCCACCTGCTTCGGA